ATTTACTTTACAGTAACTAGCAGTGTTGTTATGGACAGTGGAGGCCTTTGAGTCGAAATGCTGATGTAGAAACACTCACCATACAGGCCTCTCTAGCTGCAGGGATGCCCGGGTCTTTCTCTAAGACACTTTTATAGTCCTCTAGAGCTTCATCAAGCTTGTCTGTCTTCTCGTAGAGTTCTGCTCTCCGCAGAATGGCACGGACATAATTTGGATTTAGTTCTATGGCTGTGGAAGACAAGACAATACACATTGTCTCCAAACCTTTGTGTCATGGCAGTTCAAATGTTCAAAATCATTTCCACAGGAAAAGAAAATTAAGATATAAATCAGAGACAGAACATAAAAATAGTGTGTTGTGAGTCGTGCACATTCTCTAGATACAAAACACAATGTGTGCAGGATATTCTCTCACCTTTAGAGCAGTCACTGATAGCGCTGTCTTTTTTATCCTGGCAGATAAAATTATAAATAAACTAGTTATTATGCAAAACTATGAATAAATACAAGAATATTTGGAAAATCATGTACAAAAACACTAGAAGAAAAAACTAATTTGAGCACTCAAAGTAATGATTGTATCAAATGGTATTACATTGGACTGGTTCCAACATATTCTAAAATGCTAAATCATCAAGTCATCTATTCATGCTTATGCAAAAAATGTTTTATTATAATCATATGCATACATATGCTATATCTACATGGTGTAGTACAGTAAGCAAACACTATGTGTCTTCAGAGGACATTTAAACAAACAATAGTTCATACAAGTTTAAAAGTATAATAGTTTAAAAAAAGAAAAGAAATATACATTCTGTATCAGCACAAAACACCCAAAAGTTCACCTGATGCAGGCGTGCAGCAGCTCGATTAGAGAAGAGTATGGATCTCTCTTTACTGTAGCACACAGGACACACTTTCAGCGCAGCTGTGTAAGACTCTTCAGCCTCTACATGCTCTGTAAACAATGACATGTCAGAAGCTCATTCACAAACACAACCTTTCAAATCTGATACCGCCTCAATGCGGTAAACAT